TAGACCTTTGATGCTAAGAATCGGGGGCGGAGCTAGGAATATTGTCCCGTACAGACCAAATTTAATCAAGGCTGGACTTTGATTTTTCAACCATAGATTTAATAATGGTAAAATATAAAATAATATTATAACAACACTAAAAATTATATAGTTTATAAATTACACTTGTTCCTTGCAAATTTTCAAACTTTGATATGTCTACATCTTGGTTTGTTTGAATATTTTTGAAATTCATTGTCCAAACTCCAAAGAAAACAAAAAGGGTAGGAACGTTCGAAGAAAAAGAAAAGGTGAAACTTTCTATATTTTATGAAAACAAATTCATATTAAATGAATGTAAATGAGCATTTCTAGAAAAAATGACAAATTCCTTTTGTGCTTTGTTGAAATTTAGATAACTTTAAGCTTCGATTACTATCATTTTGATTGCAGCTAAGTTATATTACTCGCCGTTTATCGAATTTAAAAAATTATTTTTCTTCTATTTTCTCTCATTTTTACGTATAATTGTCAAGCCATCTGAAAACTTAAATTAGAAATAGCACACATTTGAATTTAGTGTTGACCATACTTCTTCACCTGCATCTCATATTTATCATTTTATTGAATGTGACGTGTTTACGATTCTCATTAGTCGATAACAATAAAATTTAACTAAAGATCTCTATCCCAAATCGATACTATATAAAGTTACTTTTATAACCTTAATAAATTGTAAAAACGCAAGTATTTAGTTCCTGTTTAAGGGGGTGTTTGTTTTTTATTTGAGAAAATCAATTCTCATTTTCAACCACATATTTTTCAATAAAACAATATTTTCCATCACATCAATAATTTTTTCTTCTTTTTCAACCACACATTTCCCATCATATCACTATTCAAAAATCAATTCTTCTCTCAAAAATCTCTACCAAACAAGCTCTAAATATCATTTTTTAGAAAGAATTTTGTAAAAAATGAATATTTTTTTTTTTTGGAGAACTTATAGTTAAAAATAAGTTTGAGAAAAATTACATTTTAAA